GACTGGCGCTTAAAACATAAATAATTTATTTTAACAATATTTTAGTGTTTATTGCTTGAATTATAATTTAATAAATTGATATTTTTGTTGTTTTATAGATACAAGAAATAATATAATTATGTGATGAAAAAGAGTAAAAGTGCACTTATGTAATAATGAAGATTATTTTTCAACAACTAACTAAAGAAAATTACAAGAAAGATTTCCAGTAACTTTTCAAGTTACTGGAAATCTTTCTTGTAATAATCAGTACAGTTAATTACTTATTGTTTTCTGGTTCAATAAACAGTTCTCTCATTGCTTTTTAAATTAGATCAGTAATTTAAATCTTCTATAATAGAAATTTACTTTAATTTTTCATTAGTAAATTATAAAGAACAAAATACTTTATCACAATTTCCCATGCATAAAATGCTTTTAATTAAGAAAAGCAAAAACACCTGATATAAAAGGCACTTCATTGTATTATTTAGATGTAGAAAAGATATAATTGTTGAAAAATAACATCTTTATTATATTATTATCTTTGATTATTCACACGTTAAAACTTTTCCAAGGATAATTTTAGAAATTTACTTGATTTAAAAATCATAAACAAAATTTATTCCTCTCATTTGTCAATTAGAATGCCAACTTTAAACTTCCCTTCCTAATCTGCAACTAATGCAAATGACAATATTAATGTAAATCTTACAGTAAAGTATGAAAAACTAAAATATAGTCAAAAAATAACAATAAAGTTATTGCTATAAAAAATTTTAATTATGATTATTGGAAAAATGTTCTCAATAAAAGAGGATATTGTCTGCTAAAACTGATTGAAAGCGTGTTCAGGAACAGTAAACAACAGAAATTTCCAAGAAAATGAGCTTAATGTGTTTCCCTCTTACTAAGTTCCTCTATGCAGAAGTTCTTTGTTCAACATCTTTGTAATCTAATTTTTTCATAAAAGAGTTCTATTTATTTGCAGCTTAATCAGCCATTATTTACAGGATGTAATCTTTTCTTTCTTAAAATTTCGGAAAAGGAAGAGAAGAGGGGAAGGAAAAAAAAAAGATTTTCATTTAGAGAGTTTCTTTATAAAAGAAGAACTTTTATAAGAAAGAAAAACTTATTAATCCGAAATTCTACATCATTAAAACTTTCTTAAAATAAATAAATCTGTATAAAAATGTGGAATAAAAATAGCTATTTTACTTTCATTTTAAAAACTTGTATTTATCCATTTAGCAAATATTTATTTTGCAATATAACAAATTTATTTTAGCATAACTCTACAATTTTGTTATTTTATTAAGAAAATTCTTAATAATTAAAAGAAAAAAAAACAAATAGTAAATTTAGAAACAAACTAATTCTTCTAGCATATGTATAAATTTTATCATTATTTTTTATATAAAAAGTTTACTACATTTTACAAAATTATCATATGGTATAAAGGATATTGCAAGTTTAAGTACAAGTTTTGATGGACAAACAAACAAACAGACATTAATAAATTTTGTGAAGTACTTTCCTATCTTTAATAAATTATATTTTTATATAAAAACAGTTAATTTATTTAAAAGATTATTTTTCATGATAAATTTGATGAAAAATTATAGGAGGTTTCANAGCTTCTTTCACAAGATAAAAAATCAATATAAATAAAGAAAGAAATAAAAATTATATTAATATTTAATTTTAAAAAATTTTTATTTGATTAAATGACTAAAACAAGAACAAATGAGACTAACTTTTGATGAGCTTCAATTAAAAAAAATATATATATATATTGTTAATTGAAAGAATAAAAAGAAAATAATTTTTTTATTGGTATAAATTTTATTATCTAGTTGAAAAAATCTTTTTTATAGGTACATTTTTTGAAGGATGATAAAAAAATTCATAGGTTATATTGAATAGAAGAAATATTCATAGCTTATATCGGTTCTCAATAAGAAAATTCACTAAATGGTTACCAATAATACATGGTTTACAAAGTGGATTCGGCGATACTTTCGCCTGAAAGGATATCTAGGAAGAATGCTTTCAACTGGAACAAAATTCAATGTTGCGAAATAGAAAGACTAGTAAAAAAAATAAAATAAAATAAAATAAAAAGTAAAAAAAAATAGTAGAGCCTCAATATAAGAAATTTTTATACTGGTGTGTGTGTATGATGTGGAGGACTCTATCAGGCAAACTTTTAATATTGATCTGACCTATTTTAGTAATATTACTCTATAAGAATAAAAGAAAAATGGAATATAGATAATGTAATTAATAAGTAAAAAAATTTAAATAAAAATTTACATACCCATTGTTTTCTTTTTAAATTATTAACTAATGGACTTTCGCACGTTACTTCGATGGTGTCATCTTCACTTCCCAACGAAGTGGGTGAAGTAATGGTAGATTGTTTACTGAAGTCTATCGACGCGTATTCTGAAGGAGAAAACTTGCTAATGACTTCTGATTGAGGAACATTAGTTAAGGATAATTCCGCATAGATGATATCATCGTTATTCTAGAAGATAAAAATTGATAAATGTTGAGATATATGCTGTGTATATATGTATATATATATATTATTTAAATTTTGATATCGTATCATTAGTTAATGCTGTTTAAAGTTACTCTATATTTTTCTCTTCTGACGTTTGACATTTTTATGTCCGAACTTAATCCTGTTCCTAGGGAGGAAAATATTGTTTCTAGAGGTTTTTGCCTTTCTAATCCTTCCGATCTTCCACTTATTGTAGAAATATCTTTAAAAAAATTTATTTATATTAAATAAAATCGATAATACAATTTTAAACTTTAAATTTTTATCTTATCAAATAGATTTTTATCAACAAGAAAGTTATAGTTTATCTTTGATTTGTATTAACATTTTTAACAGATTCTTTTAAAATTTAACTCGTGACACGATTAAAAAATTCGTTAGAAGTTCTTTCTTTATTTATTTTTAATTTATTAACGTTAAGCTGCAAATGTATTTACAAAACGTTGTAAAATAAAAGATTAATCTCTTTTTTTACTACATAAAAAACAATATCTTATCAAACTAACTTAAGTAAATACATTTGATAATTTAGTATACGTATCAAGAGTATTGGGTCATTTGGGAATGTGTGAAAGAGTAATAATTATGTTCTCTACATTATAGGACAGAACATTTAATGAAGGTTATAATTTGTAACGATTTCTTCCAGACAGACGTTATCCGCTTGGAGGAAATCCTCTTTATACGTTATGCTATAGCGATAGTACTTTACACCCAGATGCGAGCTAGATTTGTCGTAATTACCCCTGAAAATTGGCTTCTCTGTCGATGCTGTGTGCACGTAGAAGAAGCCGAATACTGATTTCCTTGACTCATAAATCGTGATTTAAAAAAAAAAATTAAATCACGATTTACTTTTCGAAAAGAATTCGAGACAGTTTTCTAATCTAAGCAAATGAATTCATAATTTTTTTTAAAGAAAATTTAATCGTATTTATTTTAAATTGTTATACTGTACTATACATTCCTATTTGTTTTTACGAAATATAAGTTTAAATTTTCTTATTAAGATATTCGTGAAATAAGTTTTGGATAAAGTGATGCTATGAATTCGAAAATAAATAAGAAAAATAAGATTTCTACGGTATTTTTTTACGTGTAATTGATACTTTATCTAAAATTCTTTGCCAAAAATCTTTAGAAAATCCTATTTAAAAATATATATTCTACAACAAAGAGAAATAGTCTTTAAAATATTTAAAATAAACCAAGAAACTTTGTATATTTTTGACATTATACGCCTTATTCTTACCACTGAAGATACAATTTATCTTTATCTTAGAATACTACTACTGTAACATATCTTTTCTACAATGACGTCTACTGGGATAATCAAGAGAATAGAAGTGAATAAAAATGAATTTTAAAGAAAAAAAATAAAAGATTTATTTCAAAATTGAAATATGTTTAAAATTTTTCCTATTTTAAAACATATAAACACAAAGATTTTATCTTACAAACATCTTATTATAAAAGACTTATCGAATTTTAAGTTATAGAAACTGTATTAAAAAACTGTTTATACATTATTTATTGATAAAAGCCATCAATAAAATATTTAAATAAAATNAGAAAAGTTTCTTCAAGAAAAAGCATTTGTCAAGATAATGCAGACAAAGCATCGAATGGAAGGAAAGCCTTCTCTATGGAGATTTCGGTGGCACCGAAGAGAAACATTGAACGAATCTGACGATGATTCTGCAGAATAGACTGTCTAAATAATACAGAACAAGAAATGTGAAAAAGGCAACGCTTCCCTAATCTTCCAAGTTATGGCTCTGGTTCCAGTAGGGAATTTACCCTATATATTATACAGAAAGGGAAATTACACCTTCAGGAGCGAATTTTTATTAAAGTTATCGCTGCGTTAAATGATATGGGCATATTCATATATTAAATAATAAATTTTTCCAACATTTCTTTTTTGACGTCTAATATAAATTTTTTAAGTTGTATTTTTTAGTTTTAAAATTTTAAAAGAAAAATATTAAACTGTAATTTTGAATTATATTATTACTATAAAAATCTTAATTATTGTTATTATATTGTAGTTATTTTCCAAATATCGACAGATCATTCGATCCACTTTAACGTTAAGAAAATAAATTGAATAATAATGGAATTATAATGCACTTCGAGAGCATCAAAAATATTTAATATACCATCATAATATACTTAAGATTGAAGATAATAATAATTCTGGAACTAAATTTTAATGCTTTAATTACAACAACAGCATAAAATTTATAAAATTTGAGTAACGTTTAACAGGAGAACATTCTTTATTGTTAATGTTAATCTATAAAATTCAAAATAATATTAACGCAACTATTTACAACGCTCAGTTTTCCAAAAATTAGTAAAAAAAAAGAATCTATCTATGAAAAATTCCTAAGAGCACCAGGAATTCTCATGGATTCATGTGTAGATTTATTAGCTTATAAAAAAAAGCTTGTTTTTCAGCTCTTCGACTTCAATATCTAGTGTTTTATAAGCTCATTCTAGAACAAATTAAAACACAATTAAAACGGTAATCAGATTTATGAGAACAAATTATCTTAAAGCTTTTTAGGTGCATTATTATTATTATTAACGTAATTTATCATCATAAATCTTCTCTAGGATGATGAATATAAAGGTTTGCTTTATATTCATCATCCTACATCCATTAATTCTCAGCTCTTTACTAAGTTTTTACATTAATTTTACTAAGACATTTATAAGTTAACGTGAGCAACAATGTTTCACATTTCGAATTTTTAAAATTAAATTATATATCTCTCTTACAATTAACTTATAGAAATTTAATTATATATTTATACAAAATAACAAACTAAATATTTATTAATAAAATTTTTAATAAATAGAAATTCTATAAAATATATAAATTAACAAAGCTAAAAGTCTTTCCTATTTGATAAATAAAATTTAATTCTCAACAGGATATTCACATATACAAGATTTACATTTGAAATTTTTATTAGTAAAGTTTTAAAATTTATAGAAGCTTAGTAAAGTTTGATTTAATGGAATTAAAATTTATGGTTTTCGCGTTTATCTTCGTTACCAAATTCCTATTTAGATTTATGAAAAGTACTCAACAATTATTTGTAATTATCAACTTCTTTGCATAAGTAGCTTTAAGTAATAGAAGTTTGCTTGTCTAAATCTATTTACAGGAGAAGAAAAGGATTTGCATAGATCTAAACAAACGAGTCATTTCCAAGACTATTCATTGATCCGTAAGGAAAACTAAGCTAATAGAGCTTCTGAACAGTAAGATTCTAATGAGAATTCCGTACTTCGTTAATTATAGTTTACAATATCTAAACACAGCTTTCATGTCAAAATTACATTTTCTCTAGAAAGTTATAACGATCGTTTGAAGTCACAAAATTTCTACTTTTAAAATATATATAATACAGTTGTAAAGGTGTGTTTAAATTACATTTTTAATATATAAAACTTTACACCTCTTTAGCAAATAATTTTTCTTTTAAAAAGCTTTTGTAATTGTTNGACCACCCCCCGAAAAATTCCTGAGGATTTTTCGACCCGTTCGGTTTCGAGCCCGGGTCCCTCAGAGCGGTGGGCTGCCACCTTGGCCTCTCGACCATCCGGCCTCCAGAGGAAAAGGCTGACGCTGTGTATAAAAAAAAATAATTTATAAGTAATTGGCTGGAAGCATCCTAAATATACATGGTTCTTTCTGAACTCCTATTTCGTTTCTTGCCCAGCAGTATAAACCACCATATCCAATCATAGATTTAGGATTATATTTGACAGTACTCATAGTTCCATTAGTGGTAAATTTTCTAATTTCTACAGTCTCTGCCGTGTTATTTAATAACCACCTGAAGCTGACTTCATCTGGATCAGCTTCCACTTCACACGACACATTTACAGTTTCATCTCTACCAATTCCATAAAGTATCTTTTGTCCTTCTTTGCAGACTGGCGCATCTACAAAAGAAAGAAATACAAATAAAATTATTTTATTTTATCACTTAATGATGTTTAAAAACATTTTACGGATAAATAAAACATTTTTTAAACACCACGATAATGTAGAAAGCTAATTTTAATTAAGTTCTTAAGTGTTGACGTATGTTGATTGTTGCTTCAGAGGAAGGGGATGAAGAGAAAAATTAATATGATATGAAGCGGAAATGAAAACATTCCTAAAGAAGTAATTATGTAAAAAATGTAGCTTTTATACGTAATATTTTAGATGCTTTTTGTGTTCATTATACCGTCTGAAGTAACATTAACAATAATAAATATTTTTTTAAGTACAAGTAAAAAAAGTCGGAATAAAAATAATTAAAAAGCAAACCTACAAGGAGAATAATTTGTTTCCTTTACAAAATGCAAAAATTGGACTTCTAAAAACTAGATCTAAATTTTTTTTTCCTATTTTGCTGTCTTCTTCGTTTCTATTAAATTTTTTTTTCTTTTCTTTTTACAAGAATGACGGATCTCTCCATCTGAGGTAATGGTGAAATAATGAAGGCATATATACTGTAGATGAAAAACGAAAAGTTAAATCGCAGTCACAAACAGAACTTAAACGAATTTTTCTCTTTTATATTGAATTTGCTTAACGAAAACGAATTTTTATAAGAAAGAAAGAAACATTATTCATTTTAGATCTAATTTTAAGTTACAAAAGCTTCTCTCCTTTTTTTCTATTTTTCTTTTATTTACATTGTTGAATGAATTTATTAATAAATAAAACACATATTTTACATTTATATATATACAAATCCTTTATATAATATACAAATGTACGTGCTTATGTAATTTTTAAAGATATATGGTAAATTGGATAAACTGTCGTGTGTATGTAATATTTTAATGGTTATTTTTAATAAATCAAAATTTAAATTATTCTTTGCCTTCTTGGGCCTTTTTAATCAGGACTTATATAGTATGGAAGGAATTCCTCCCATACTTGTAGTATGGGAGGAATTCCTTCCATATTTAATACGAATTTAATACGAAATAATTAACGGGTCATTAGTAAAATATAGAGTTCGCTGAATATTTTTTGCTGTTATAGAAAAAATAGTCATAGTTTTTGTTATAAAAACTATAGAAACTGTCTGTTTGCCATGTTTGAAAATGACCCATTCATCAAATAGGCGAGGATACCTTAGAGGCCTATAAGAAGTGTCCGGTATATTATACTGTCGCCTGACCCGAATTTATGACACAGTAAATTTCAGTTTCATAAAATTGATCAAGGTAAAGTTGCACATAAATCAAAACTGTCAACCATTTACAGCAAATTTCTTCTTTCTTTCGTGCATGCCCTCCTGTAACTGTGTCTATCAATGTATATCTATCAATGTAAAAAAATGAATTATTGCAAAAAAGTTTCCTTATCACGTATACATTATTTACTTACACTGAACTTCAAGTTGTACATCTTTACTCTTTCCTTCACCTTCCGAATTGGATGCGATGCATCTATAATGACCGCGATGATCCTTCTTCACCTTTTGTAATACAAGTGACTGATTAATCATTATTATTCCGGGATTCGTATTGCTGAAGAGTGGTTTACCATCGAAAATCCATCCCAATTCTGTTACTCTAGGATTTGCTTTAATGTTGCACTCGAAGTAAACGTCGCTACCTTCTTTAATTTTCGATCTCAATATATTTGCTCCAAGTGCTAAATTCAATATGGGCGCATCTGGAATACACAAATATAGTCAATATTTTCGCTGTAAGAAAGTTAAATTCCTTTTTTTAAAATAGAAATATTGTGGGAAATGTTTTTAAAGCTTGTAAATTTAATATTAAACCTTGAACATCATTAAAAGAAAGTTCTATTCCTTAAATTAATATACGGAATAGAACTTTTTTAAAATGATGTTCAAGGTTTAAGATGTATATTTAATTTTTTTTTTTTTTTTGCATTTCTTCTCGTGTATATTATATTTGGCAATCTTTTCTTCAGCGAGAATTTGTCTTTTGTTTTAAATAAACAGGATCGAACTGTATTTTTGTGTGTGTTTGTGTGCTTTTTTTTTATTTTCGAGACACCCTTTCGTTTCGGTTAAAGTGGTAAAAAGAGAAACGACAGGGAAAACCCATTTCTTCAAATATTGTTGTTGAAATGTGACGTTTAGACACGAACTAAGTAGAAAAGTCATTTATATCAATAAAAAGTCTCGGGTGGTGTATCTGATATCGTCACGAGCTTGTCGTGAAGAAAATTCAGATAGATTAGTAGAAATTTATTATTTTGACACTATAAGACTCACAGTGTACATTGAGTAACCATCTATCAGCAATTCCACTATTTGGCAACGTCGGATGGTCTGCTCTGCAAGACAAAGATTTCCCGTTGTCGTCAACAGAAGGTGTGAATGTTAGCAAACTGGTGGTGATGTTTCCATCATCTGACACGCTCTCCTTGTACGATTCTAGCTTCTTGCCGTCCTTCCACCACGATAAATGTGCGGGAGGCCTCGAACCGGTACTTTCACAAACTAATTTTACTTCCTGTCCAGCTGATACGGGTCGATTCGATTCGATGATGTACACTTCGAGTGGCTTCACTGTAACGTATAGAACAAACGGATTATCACATATAAACATCTTCATTTTTCTTTTTCCTTTTTCATTTTCTATCTACCTTAACAGTAAAAGGTAGTGAGGAAGTCAAAAATGGCTTAAGTCCAAAAGAATTCAGGGCAAAATGCCAAGTATTCTAGAAATTCTATCAATGTGATTCTTCCTCCTCACATTTATTACACCAAAAATATCTTTAGAAGTAGAAAGGTACTAAGATTAAATTGATTATTTTTTAATATATTAATTTATAAAATTATATGGAGCGGATGAAAGTAATGATTATTTAATGATTTTCTTTATTATTAAACTTACAGTTAAGATCTAGGATGACAGAACTAGTCTTTGGAACCGTTAAGTTTGTGTTGGATGCTTGACAAGAGAAAACTTCCATAAGGAAAGATCTTTGTAAATTCTTAAGAGTCAGTTCGTTCCTGACGACACCTTTAACTGTTGGTTTGTAGCTGTCATCTAGTAATGTAGACCCTCTCCACCAGGTAACTGAAGGAGGTGGTGAACCTGTAACAGATGTTTCGTGTAAGTACACTAAATGCATTTGTCCGTTGTCCGTCTGTTATTGACAGATGTTACAGAATTACACAAAAACTAAGTAGCTATAACGGATAATGTTGTTTGTGAGTTTTTAGAAAATATTACTTTCCTCTCCTCCTCTTATTTTTTCTAATCATAAATTACGAGAACATTACTTATAACTGAAGTAAGTAACTCAGCAATAAGTGAAGCTATAAAAGTAAAAAATGTATTTTGTTTAAAAGATTTTTACAGTGCAATTTCTAAACGCAATTTATATTTTTACTCCCATTAAATTGTCCTATTAAATAAATAAGTAAAACTTTGACAATTTTTAAATAAATAATCGTTATTGCAACAAACATTAATTCAATTTAAAAGAATTAAATATATTTAATGTAATTATTAATTCAATATTTAATTAAAACAAATTTTTTAAAATACTTACCACCTTCAGCTTCGCATATTAATATTAAATAAAATCCTTCATCGTAAGGGCCTATGATATCTCTCATCCTCTGCCCGTGTTCATCTTTGATAATAACATCATTGGGTGGTACTAAATATTTTATAAAATTAAAAATTAACATTTTTTTTAATGATTTTCTAATAAGATTATATATAGAAATTATAAAATAATTATTTATATTATTAAAAATATAATGTCTTATAACGTAAATATACGAAATAAATCAACAAAACTTGTCATTTTTTATCCTCTCACATAAAAAAATATATATATATTAAATAAAAATCTTACTAAATAGTAAATAAATTAAAATTTTTACTTATTATTGAATATAAAATTAATTTTTTCTCCTTCGATTTCTTGACATTTTAATTACGGTTTTTAATTTATCATTGGTAAAAACTTTGACTTTTAACTTATCCATCAGACCATAAACAAAATTAAAACTTATAATACATTTTAAAAAATCTAATTTAAATATCGTTGACTTTATAAAATTAGAAAAAAAAATTCAATTTGAAAAATCAATAGAATAGAAGGAGAAAAAAAAAACAAGTTTCAGTTGCTAAGTTGCGCATTATATACGAACTGGATTAAAATATTTATTTAAATTATATTTCTTTTTTTTTTGTTTAATAACAAATCTTTGAAGTAGAAAATTAATAGAAAAGGATATTTAGATCGAAAGTTATTTTCGAAAAATATCAAAAACAGAAATTGTTTCATTAAAAGCGCGTTAACATTAAGAAGAATATTGGAAGCATAAAACAACTTTGCAAGTTTTATAACACAGAAAGATGGAGCCATTCGAGGAAAGTCTGTAAGATTTTAATAACAGTCGAGACTCTCGTTTCTTCCCACAATTTACCATAATTAATTAAGACACAAACATTAAATCGATGATAGCAAAGTTTTATTAAAATGCGAAGTACAAGATAATAAATTTTTTTTTTTTCTTAAAAGTTCCGTACAACACACAACATATTGTGTTTTCGTTAAAGTATCGATCGAATAATAAATTTTACAATTATTTCTTAATTAAATATCATTCGTATATTATAATTTAATGACTAATTTTTTACGCTGAGAGATGGCCAAACTTAGCATTGCATTTTTGTTTTTTTTTTTTTTTTTTTAAGGAATTTATTTATATATATATATCTTAACTGTTTAAGAAAATATTAAAGTGATGGATATGCATATTTTCCAGATAGGAGGCAACAAAATATGATTTTTTTTTAAAAAAAAGAATATTCTTATCAGTCTCATACGATAAGCGGGGCGTACATATCCAGATGCACATTTTTAACGACTTTTTCAGAAATCTTACTGTTACATATTTACCAAGGATACCTCAAATACGAAATTCGTCGACGATTGAAGAGAAGAAACCAATATTCTAAAAGTAGTAAAAATCTACCAGAGAAAAACCATAAATTGTTGAACAACCGAAAATTTTGCTGATCCTAGATAAAAAAAATAAGAAGAATAAAAAAAAAATTACTTCTTTTCGCATCGATGATAAGGAGAACAAGAGCTCTTTTACAAAAGCTAACATACAATTGTTTCCTTCATTTTGTATTCCATTCTATCTCTGGTGCTTAAAAAGCACTCTTGGAAAACTTTACTTAAAAACTAAAAAAAAAATAAAAAAATAAAATAAAATATGATGGTTGACCCTTCTAAACCGATACCCAGGATACAAGTTTTATACTGTAAGTAAACTCTAGGTGAATTTTAACATTAAACATAAACCGCAATCGACAGAGGAATACAAAATTGATAAAAAAATATATGTATACGTTACCTATGACTCGAAGTCTTAGACGCCTGAGTACTGTCCTCGATCGCCTGTAATCTACCCTGCACTTGTATTCACCGGCATCTTCTATTTTGACCGGGTCTAGAACCAATCTAGGAATTTTTGAAGTCACGTCGAAATGTGCCCTGGAATCCAATTCCGTACTTGGAAAATGTTTGGCATTTTGAAGTGTACTCTTTCTGGAATCTAAGGTGTAGATTGGTACTCCGAAGTCGCCTTTATACCAAAGGATGATGGAAATATCTTCTTCGACTGTACGGATACTGACATTGCATGGTAGTACTACTTTTCCGCCGAAAACGGCTTGGTATTCTGGAATGACTGAAAATACGAGAATGTTTTAGCTATTTCTTTCTATTATGTGGAACGTATGTCTTATCTGATCGATTCTGTCAAGCTATCTGTTTTGATCTTATTGAAAATTTTATTGGTACTTTACCGAAAAGGAGGAAACAAACTTAGTGATTTAGTTCGAAATAATTGAAATGTTTTTTTTTTTTGTTTTCGTTACTTTTATTTATTTATTTATGCTTATATTTTGTAAAAAAAATATATGATATATTTTATTTTATTTAAAGAGTAAACCTACTTCTTAGTAAACCTTGTTACTCCTTGCAACAAGGAGTAACAAAGTTTATTAATAAGGAGTAATTACAAAAATTAGAATTTGTCTGCTTGTTTAAAGTGTTTAGACAAGTCAACAAATTCCTATTTATATCTTATAATATTACTTTATATACAGCTCAATCAAGACGATAATAAAAAGGGTTAATTAAATCAATTTATTAATTAATGTTTTTACATAAATATATAATGACTAATCAAGTTATTTTTCTTATAAATATCCCTTTTCTTATATCTACTAAGAGTTTTAATACTTAATCAAACGATAAATAAACTATTATTATGTATAATTTTTTAGAATATTTTATAAACGTTTTTCTTTCTTCTTTATTTATTTATTTATTTATTTATTTTTTAATTTACTTCGAAACATATTTATGCTTTACACAAATTTAAATTCGATATAAAAATATATTTAAAAATTATAATTAATTTTACTTATTGTTTTTACAAATTTCTGCATTAAATATACTTAATTGAATATTTTCATTTAAATTTCGAAAGTTATTATCATTATTATTATTATTATATCTAACAAACTTAATAATAAATTAAAGAATTATATTTCCTAAGATCTTTGAGTAATTTGAAATTTGAACATTTTAAAGAGATTTTTCAGTATTTTAAATTAATCCAAATTTTAAAATTTAATTAATTTCAATAAGTTAAAACAATTCTCATGACGATATTATCGGCTTTATACTTATTTGAAGTATTATTGAAATCTTCGTAAATAATTGAAGGAAAAAAAAAATTTGTATATTATTTTCCTTAAATTAATCCTATTTATAATTATAAATATTCGATCGATTTAACTTAAAATTTTATAAAATTATACGATCGAAAACTAAATTTAATTTTTGACTATTCATGCCAACTTCCTAATTCTATAATTAGAGGAAACTAAGAAAATTAATAATGCAAATTTAATTATCTTTTCCTCTAAATTATCTAAAGTTAGTTTATTTAGTTCTTGTTATTGTTGTAAGCCTTTGTTTCGATTATCTAATCATTAATATTGAGCAGAATTATTCATCTAGAACATCGCATCTCAACCTTTATCACATTGGAAGAGAAACATCATTAAGAAACAATACAGTTAGGGATTACAAAAGGGCTCGCGAGATACCGGTTGGTTAAACCGCTATAGAAACTTAAACTTAATTTCTTAATTTAACGAAGAGAGGGGGTAAAAACGAATTTATTTAAATACCTTTAAAAATATCAAAAGTTTATCTCATTATCAAAAGAGAAAATAATAATAAAAGATATCAAGTTTTAAAAAGAAGAAGAGATAAAACCCATTTCTATAAAAAAAAAAATGGTAGGAAATTTTTCAGTCAATCGTTATCTGAGAAAGTAAATGCAAAGCAGTCTCTTCTTTGTTATGATGTTTGCCTCAGGCATCTTTACGCACCAAGAGGGACCACAGAGTTTCCAACTTCCATCATTTGTTAAGTAGAAAAGAATTTTAACAATCTCTGCCAAATATATAATCTTCCAGCATAAGATTTAAAAAAAAAAGAAGAGAAAAAACCATACAATTCTTCATTTTTTTAAGATAAAAGGATAATTATTTTATTACCACAATTTGTAATTTTCTTTTGTTTAACTATTATTATTATTAATTGTTTAAATAAAAAAGGATAACTTTCTTATATTTTTAAACATTTTTCTTGTAGTCGAAATTAATAGTTTAGTAGTACACACGTACACTGTACGTCAAAAGAATATAATATTTTTGATTAAGAGTTGTAAATGAATTAATTCCCTTGTAAATTGGGTCTTTTGCTTTCAATTACGTTTTGCTTAATGAGTTATTTGTTTGGATTTTTCCTTTAAAAGATGGCGAATACAAGAGGTTGTTAGATAATTACAATGTCAAGAGTAATTTTCTTTTGGGTGGACTCGATTATTGTTCGGTAAGAAAGAGAAGTCGGAGATTCACCAAAACACCAAAACAAAGAAATTGGATAAACATCAAGAAAACAAACAAAATGTCCCTTCCTAGATAGAGAAGAAGCAAACGTTTCTCGTTAATTTTTTTTTCTTTCTTTNCATACGCTTTTAACATTTTAAAATTTCTTTCTGAAAATATTAAAATATAAATTCAATGTTTTATAGTATTATAACTTCTACACAGACCAAGGGAGAAAAAAAAATCATATTTTAGAGAGACGACAGAGAATTCGAAATTGGTAGCAAACAAAAGGATGCTTCAGCTGTGTTTGTCCTTTTTCCCAGGTGGTGATATTGATGCCAAGCAATTCAGGAAAAGGTTTTCTTGATTCCGTTTTAAGTAAATACAGAACCAGTAGAGAAATCCAAGTATAGTTGGATATATGCTGTCAAAGGACTTGCATTCTGATTTGTTGGTTTGTACTAAATCCTATTTTCAGAGTTAAGGCGAGAGAAACGAAAGTACCGCATTTATCTCCTGTTACCAACTTTCTTGTAAATCTCTAAAGAAACAATTGTTCGAAAGAGTGACTTAAAGTCATTCAGACTATTTTGGATCAGAAGCTACAGATTTCTTGATCTAAAATGTCCGAAAACAAAGAAAAAAATGGATTTGATTTATATATTATTTTTTTTTCTGTATTCTTTCTCGTAAATAAACAGCACATATTGTTATAACGGATTCAGAATAATCTCTTATAGTTAAAAGTTTACCAAGAGGATTACAGCATTAGTATTTATAAATAAAATAACAAAAAAAATCATTTGTTTTCCCTAGGATAAGATCAAATCCTGTAGAAATTTTGCTCTAAATAAATATATCCATCAACGGAGAGACACGAAAAAAATATTTTTATATAATAAAAAAAATAAAAATTATGTGAAAACATTTTTATAAGCGGATTTTTTTCCTGCTTAAAAATACATTAAATCTACTTAAATATGATATGATAAACGTTGTATTTTAATAATATTTTATTGAATAAAACATATAATATGAAAGAGATAAATTTCTATCATAAAAGTAGCTGAAAATATAACATTTCATTTATTTTTCTTATTAGAATCTTACAAATAAAATAATCTTCTTTTATAACTATACTAGAAATTGATATGAGTTGGTAAGAAGTCTTGTTAGCTCGTTAGAAGCAAACTGACAAGACTTTTATATACAAGCATGAAATAGTGAATTGATCTCTGAATAAATAAAAACCAGCGAAATAAATCATTTATTGGATTTACTCGGATACATTACCTGGATCGGAATCCTTTCCTTGAACTTTCATCACAACTACTACAGCTATAGCAACCAATACTAGAGCACCAACAACTCCAATTAACAATCCCAATATCGGACTAACAGTCGGATGTTCTCTATCGGCTGGAAGAAATAAAGAAATAGAATAAAGTGAAAATTATATATTATCGATAATAATTCGTATCCAATATCCTAGAAATAAATAAAAATATTTATTTTTCTACTCTTCAATTTAGTAATGCGATACAGGCGTGTTAATATTAAGTTAGAGCAGTAATAATGGAATCAAATTTTTGTCACCTGTTCTTCTTTCTGCCGGATGTAATGTACTAGTCATCAATGCTACCGAATTGCTTCTACCCTTGGCATTATTGGAGTAAACCATCAAAAGAAATGCTGTACCCGATGGTAAATTCGATACATCGAAAAGTGGGACGTCTGCAGATGTTAAATTAGTCAGAAGATGTTTGTCAGCCGAAGTATATACTTCTAAGTAAAACTGTTGTTTAAGCCCTCCATCGTATCCTGGTTCGCAAATAATCGTGAAAGAAGTGGTTGTTTGATTGGTTATTCGACAACTCTTCACTAGCTCTGGAGGACCTGAAAAGATATCAAATTGGAATTATGTCTTTGGTGGAAAAGCTTTTCTAGCAATTTTCTCTCCTTCGATTGCCTTTAGCTACGGTTATGCAGTTTATTATTGTGATTTTTATGACGTGTAATTTTTTTTAAAACATTGGAAAATAGATTTCTCTTCGTAGAAAAATATTTTATTTTTTGTTTCTTGTTTTCTCGACTTTACAGCAATGTAAAAAAACTTCCAAATTTTCAAATGCCATAAAATAAAAATGTGTAAAATGCATTTTACTAATATCTTAAAGTATGTAAATTTTGCGATGTGAACATTATAATATCGTTAAAAGTTCTTAAACTATTTATTATGTACCATTAGGATGTATATTAGAAGAAAAATAAATGTATTCGTGTGTTATGATTTGATTTTATTAAGTTTTAAAGATGAATATTTAACTATTCCGTTCAAATATTCTGACTGAATCGACTTAAACTGTCGAACTGTACAATACCAAACTAAAATTCTCTAGAGAATTTAAATTGCTTTAGTAGACTACCGCAATTATGGCCATTTTAGAAGAATCAAACACAAACTTTTGCTGGATAAAAAAGATAAACGACTGTATTTTATTGAATATTGAATTTTTAAAATATTTATTTCTATTTGAAATAGTACACTTGCTTTTATTTTTAAACTCATTGTAAAACAGTCAAATATTGATATAAAGTTCATGTTTTCTGTATAAAAGTTGAACTTCATTATAAAATTTTAACACGAATATAGTATTACAAGTTTCGATATAATGAATACATTTATTACGATGATATAAAATATTCTAAATTTTATTTTAATTTTAAAAACATTTTCAAATTTATAAATACAGTCAAATCTATAATAACGGCCATCTATAAACGACGGACATTATCTATGAAGTGCATACTAAACGAGCAAAAATTATTGTGACATTGTCACAATGCCGGGCTGCAATTTTAATCATATTTTAATTTATTTAGTTTTAAAATGTGTGGTCTGGATATCAAATTAGTAGTGTCTTGCCCCTGTACATCATACTTTTCCACACAACATCAAAGTCATGCCGGTTATCTATGTAACTCCTTTCTGGGGAAAATTTTTGAATTAAAATCACGTTATTTCTGGTCTACAACGGAAGTTCGTATATTGTTAATCGGGATCTCCTACCCCCAAATTTTCATATCTGGTCTCTCGATTATCATCTATCTAACACCGTTCTCGAAATTAAGGAAGGGTAGACAGACACACAGTGCGAATTTATAGGTCTACACTTTTTTAAATTTGCTGCTTAATAATTTCCAAATAACTTTCGAACAATGGTATATTTTTATGTTTCCATCAGTGTCCTTCGTTTAGAGGTTTGACATTAAAAAATATATATAGAAACTTTTATTTATTAAATTAAGCTATACTTTACAGATTTAAAATATATATATTATAGAATATCGTGGAATTTTTTATATATAGATCTATAAAGTATTTTTTTTATATTTAAAAAAGAATTGCAAATTTTTTTCTATTGAAAAATATTTTATTTTTTTATATAGAAACGATTTAGGAAAACCTCCAGAGAATTTATAAGCATGAAAGTGTAGTTCAAAATTTCTTATTTATAAACTTTTATCGATAAATTTTGGAATGTTTTTAACGTCTAGAGAGACGATACAATTGCTTTAAAAAAAATAAATGCTGTCGAATGGATGCAGCGGAAAAAATCCTAGAGATTTCAAATGTGTGGAAATTCCGTTTATTCTTCTACTCTATTCTACCTGAACAAGAGTAAAGTGTAAATGTAGTTTCTCTTACATAGGAAAAGGTTGATCCACTAGAGATTGCCATACTTGATTTCTCATGCGAAAAGCACATGAACGCTTAGTTTGACACATTGACCGACCGGATTTCAATTGCATACAGACAAACAGGTATATATTTAGTATATTATTATTATTACTACTATTACTACTTGTTCCTGATTATCAAAGTTTATACAAAAGAACAAAGTCAAAACAAGACTTTGATTAATATTTAATGAACTTTTACAAATAAATAATTTTAATTTTTAATCACTGACAATAGAATTAAATGAATCGTTAATTGTGTTGTTTCGTGTGCATCTATAACACTGCTTCGACATAAAAGAAGACAATTGTAAAAATAGAATAAAAGATAAAATAATAACAATAAGTTGATTTGCCTTTTAAAGACTTATTTACATTAAAATAACTTTAAAAATTCTTTCTTAATTAAAATTTTAATTAATTTTATTATTATTATTATTTTTTAATTTCGTGTCTTTGTAATAAATTTATATAGTTTATAATACATTTTAAATAATTAATCATGCATTATTTAAGTATAAAATAATATTTTATCATATTTTAGAATCAATAATATGATAAATCTACCTACAAAATACTTAAAGAAAGATATATGCAGTTCTTCTATTAATAGATACTCCACTTTCTTATTCAATAACTTAAACATTTTTTTAAAAAGTAAATATATTCTTCAAGAACTTAAAGAAATTCTAAATATATTATGCATATTTTTTCTAAATTTTAANATAGTTAAAATTTATTTATAAAAGTATATAATAAAAGTCAAGTAATGTACTAAATTTTATCACGAATAAATATCTCAAAATATGTAAATAGCTTATAAATTAAAAAAGAATTTAACGAAGTGTGTAGGCCTGTGTAGTATAGTAAGTGTCTGATCAATCTGAAGTTTTAAGAGTGATGCTTAAGAGGGTTAGATAAGTCTGAGATGCCTTCATAACAAGTATGAGATGTGCTATGATAACAAGTATTATTAGAGAGCTTGATACCTCATTTATCTATGGTATATTGATAATAATTATCTATTAATCTCATAAAGTGCTAACTTAAACACGCCTTTCAATCAAATATGCTTCAGATTTTGCTTAAAATAACTTTCGAATATATTAATAAATATATTTTACTGAATTTAATAAATTTTCACAAAGTTTTATAAAAGATTTTCTATTAACAAAAAATTATCTTAAGTTTTTATAATAGTCATTAAAATTTGAATTAAATCTTTCTTCCTTTAAATGAAATCTTTTCATATACAGACGGACGTGAATAATCATTACTATAGCGCTTTTATAGAATACTAATAGAATAATGAAGCTTTTATTACGTTTATACAACGAATATCATGTGTAAATGCATCTTGGTCATGTGTTTATGTGTTTTCTTTGTCGGAAATGCAATTAAGTTTGCTGTTATCTAATTTAATGGTGACACGTTTAATGAAAGATTAAAAATAGTACCGAAAAGGTAATTAATTTATCATTAATTTCATTATAACCAATGTTTCGATATTAGAGAATGCAGACTGACAATCGTACTTCTCTGTTTATGACTGGAAAATACAATATAAGGAATGTATAAAATTGATATATGACACGGTTTTGAATGTTGAAAAAATTCTGGAAGAGATAATATATATTTTAAAATAAACTATTTATGAGAATATCAAAATTTATGACGGTTTGTAAACATAGAAACACAAAGATTTACAGGAAAAAAAAATAAACTTTTTTCTTTAAATTTTCATTGTTTTTTCTCTTATATTTCTGACATTTTATAAGAAATTCTGCATTTGTCAAGTGAAGAGAGTCTAAACTATGATTATTATTCACGGGTTATCTTTTGTATAACATAACTTTAATAAATGGAAACTATTTATCATTTCAATGTGCTTCATCTTTTTATATGTGGTGAATTAAGTTAATATTTTTTTATGTTAAAAACTATTAAAAATAGTTTATGAAGTAATTCCGGAAACATCTAGGAGAGATTCTACTTGAATAATGAGATGATTTCGGTAATATAATAATGATAAAAGACTTACAACAGATTAAACTAACAAACTCTAGCTTGATACGATGATAACTTAGATTTTACTGTGGATTATGACTGTTAAAAATGACTGTACAGGTCAAAGGTTATTCAATACAACCAAAAATAGCAAAAGAGGAAAAAGAATTGCGGCTTGTACACCATAACTCTTATACAATTGTCTCGCCTGGATGAAAGTTTTACTTATCTTCTTCTGTTACTTATTAAACTTTTAAAAAAAAGGATAGAAATTAAGCTCCACGTACAGAAAATTTGTTTAAATTCCTGAAGGCTTTAATAAAAAATAATAAATTAAAACTTTTACACAGTTTTTTCTTTTAAATTTTAGTTAACTTCTTCAAGAAGGAATCATCTCGTTTCGTTAGAAACTCTTCATTGCAATGGAAGATCATAAACAGCAATACTTAATTAATATTATTTTCATGCTGGATGCTTTCGTAACAGTAAAACTATTTTCCCAAAGCTAAAATAAAGGAGTTCTTTTTACTTTTAAACTCGTAAAACATAAGAAAATTTCAAAGGGAGAGTGGGGGAGGAGAAGAAGAAGAAGAAGAAGAAGAGTCAAACTTTAAGAAAGAAATAAAAAAAAAAAATTAATTTATAATTACTAAACTTTCTTGAAAATTTTTCGTTTATTTTTTCGAGTAACTTATTTTATTATCGTAGTAGTAAACTCAACCTTTCAGTTATAAAACGATGAATGTCGTTGTAAACTGCGAATAAAACTATCTTTCCAAACTCCCAGGGTGTAACTTTACAGCAATCAATAAAAATCACCATTTACACTTTAAGTTTAGACTTTTATGAAAAATTTATAAAGATATAATTTAATTATTGAATTTCATAAAAATATCGTTGTAATAGTACTTAAATCGTATAAAATTAATAAAGTGAAAAATCCCCTTGCGTGTATATAATTACTCAATTGCTGCAAGACACAAGTACTTAATGGTTCATAAAAATTGCTAGTTGTTTTAAATATCACNTATGGGAGGAATTCCTTCCATATTTAATACGAATTTAATACGAAATAATTAACGGGTCATTAGTAAAATATAGAGTTCGCTGAATATTTTTTGCTGTTATAGAAAAAATAGTCATAGTTTTTGTTATAAAAACTATAGAAACTGTCTGTTTGCCATGTTTGAAAATGACCCATTCATCAAATAGGCGAGGATACCTTAGAGGCCTATAAGAAGTGTCCGGTATATTATACTGTCGCCTGACCCGAATTTATGACACAGTAAACTTCAGTTTCATAAAATTGATCAAGGTAAAGTTGCACATAAATCAAAACTGTCAACCATTTACAGCAAATTTCTTCTTTCTTTCGTGCATGCCCTCCTGTAACTGTGTCTATCAATGTATATCTATCAATGTAAAAAAATGAATTATTGCAAAAAAGTTTCCTTATCACGTATACATTATTTACTTACACTGAACTTCAAGTTGTACATCTTTACTCTTTCCTTCACCTTCCGAATTGGATGCGATGCATCTATAATGACCGCGATGATCCTTCTTCACCTTTTGTAATACAAGTGACTGATTAATCATTATTATTCCGGGATTCGTATTGCTGAAGAGTGGTTTACCATCGAAAATCCATCCCAATTCTGTTACTCTAGGATTTGCTTTAATGTTGCACTCGAAGTAAACGTCGCTACCTTCTTTAATTTTCGATCTCAATATATTTGCTCCAAGTGCTAAATTCAATATGGGCGCATCTGGAATACACAAATATAGTCAATATTTTCGCTGTAAGAAAGTTAAATTCCTTTTTTTAAAATAGAAATATTGTGGGAAATGTTTTTAAAGCTTGTAAATTTAATATTAAACCTTGAACATCATTAAAAGAAAGTTCTATTCCTTAAATTAATATATGGAATAGAACTTTTTTAAAATGATGTTCAAGGTTTAAGATGTATATTTAATTTTTTTTTTTTTTTTGCATTTCTTCTCGTGTATATTATATTTGGCAATCTTTTCTTCAGCGAGAATTTGTCTTTTGTTTTAAATAAACAGGATCGAACTGTATTTTTGTGTGTGTTTGTGTGCTTTTTTTTTATTTTCGAGACACCCTTTCGTTTCGGTTAAAGTGGTAAAAAGAGAAACGACAGGGAAAACCCATTTCTTCAAATATTGTTGTTGAAATGTGACGTTTAGACACGAACTAAGTAGAAAAGTCATTTATATCAATAAAAAGTCTCGGGTGGTGTATCTGATATCGTCACGAGCTTGTCGTGAAGAAAATTCAGATAGATTAGTAGAAATTTATTATTTTGACACTATAAGACTCACAGTGTACATTGAGTAACCATCTATCAGCAATTCCACTATTTGGCAACGTCGGATGGTCTGCTCTGCAAGACAAAGATTTCCCGTTGTCGTCAACAGAAGGTGTGAATGTTAGCAAACTGGTGGTGATGTTTCCATCATCTGACACGCTCTCCTTGTACGATTCTAGCTTCTTGCCGTCCTTCCACCACGATAAATGTGCGGGAGGCCTCGAACCGGTACTTTCACAAACTAATTTTACTTCCTGTCCAGCTGATACTGGTCGATTCGATTCGATGATGTACACTTCGAGTGGCTTCACTGTAACATATAGAACAAACGGATTATCACATATAAACATCTTCATTTTTCTTTTTCCTTTTTCATTTTCTATCTACCTTAACAGTAAAAGGTAGTGAGGAAGTCAAAAATGGCTTAAGTCCAAAAGAATTCAGGGCAAAATGCCAAGTATTCTAGAAATTCTATCAATGTGATTCTTCCTCCTCACATTTATTACACCAAAAATATCTTTAGAAGTAGAAAGGTACTAAGATTAAATTGATTATTTTTTAATATATTAATTTATAAAATTATATGGAGCGGATGAAAGTAATGATTATTTAATGATTTTCTTTATTATTAAACTTACAGTTAAGATCTAGGATGACAGAACTAGTCTTTGGAACCGTTAAGTTTGTGTTGGATGCTTGACAAGAGAAAACTTCCATAAGGAAAGATCTTTGTAAATTCTTAAGAGTCAGTTCGTTCCTGACGACACCTTTAACTGTTGGTTTGTAGCTGTCATCTAGTAATGTAGACCCTCTCCACCAGGTAACTGAAGGAGGTGGTGAACCTGTAACAGATGTTTCGTGTAAGTACACTAAATGCATTTGTCCGTTGTCCGTCTGTTATTGACAGATGTTACAGAATTACACAAAAACTAAGTAGCTATAACGGATAATGTTGTTTGTGAGTTTTTAGAAAATATTACTTTCCTCTCCTCCTCTTATTTTTTCTAATCATAAATTACGAGAACATTACTTATAACTGAAGTAAGTAACTCAGCAATAAGTGAAGCTATAAAAGTAAAAAATGTATTTTGTTTAAAAGATTTTTACAGTGCAATTTCTAAACGCAATTTATATTTTTACTCCCATTAAATTGTCCTATTAAATAAATAAGTAAAACTTTGACAATTTTTAAATAAATAATCGTTATTGCAACAAACATTAATTCAATTTAAAAGAATTAAATATATTTAATTAAATTATTANTGGGCCGTAATTTTTTATAATATTTTAAATTAATTTAAACTAAAATATATGCTCTCCATTTCAAATGAGTAGCGTCTTGCCCCTGTAAATCATACTTTTCCTGTTAACAACAGAGTCGTGCCGGTCATCTCACTCCGTTCTCGAGATTAAGGAAAGACAGACAGACGGACGAACGATAGTAAGAATTTAAAGGTCTACAATTTTTTCAAATTGCAGCACAAAAACTCAAATTTGATTTATGAAAAGCAATTTAGAAGCATTAAAGTATTACGTACGAATGAGCAAAGAGCAAGTTGCCTTGTTTATCTTTACAAAATTTATGTATGTATATATAAATCTTGTAAAGATAAACAATGCAACTTGCTCTTTATATATAATTAGATTTGAAAACAACGATTTAACTAAAGAAGGATAAATATAATATGATAAATATTATATAAATAAAAGGTTTTTTTTAAAAAATTCTTCTTCTTTAAGAATTATAATAATTTTGATTTTATACACATATATATTAAAGGGTAATCGATTTAAAATAATATTTTATCATATTTTAGAATCAATAATATGATAAATCTACCTACAAAATACTTAAAGAAAGATATATGCAGTTCTTCTATTAATAGATACTCCACTTTCTTATTCAATAACTTAAACATTTTTTTAAAAAGTAAATATATTCTTCAAGAACTTAAAGAAATTCTAAATATATTATGCATATTTTTTCTAAATTTTAAGAAAGAAAAAGTAAATTTTTAACTATTTTTTATAAATATTATTTTAAAGTTTTTTTTAAGTCTATTGTAATAACTTTTAAGGAATATATTTAACTAAATTGGAATTATGTCTTTGGTGGAAAAGCTTTTCTAGCAATTTTCTCTCCTTCGATTGCCTTTAGCTACGGTTATGCAGTTTATTATTGTGATTTTTATGACGTGTAATCTTTTTTAAAACATTGGAAAATAGATTTCTCTTCGTAGAAAAATATTTTANCGTATAAAATTAATAAAGTGAAAAATCCCCTTGCGTGTATATAATTACTCAATTGCTGCAAGACACAAGTACTTAATGGTTCATAAAAATTGCTAGTTGTTTTAAATATCACCCTTGATACCACTACTACTTGTCTGTCCTCTGATTGTTTTTTTTTCTGCCATTAAATTTGACATGTCTTAAGCATTAACAGCTTTAAAAAAAATTGATAAAATGATTATAAAGTTCAATGCTTATCTTATTCAAAAAATGATAAGTTTATATCGAAATAACTGACAATTTAGTAGTTCCTACCTTTTTTTTTACAAAATTAATCATACTTTATGTTCCTAAAATATTTTAGAGTGCGGTAAGTATACAATTTTTTAGCTCGAAATACTCTTTTTAGTAAAGTAAGCAATGAGAATTCTCTTTAAAAATGTTATTTTTGAGAGATAAACTATGCTAAACTTCATCAAAAATTCTTTCATCAAGGAAAATAAACGAGGCTTAATTTCACTAAAATTCTTTTTTTTTAAAGGGTAAAATAAACATAGCTAATTAATTACAATGGAATTTTTTTCGAAGAATAAACTTCAAACTATCTAAAGAAAATCAAAGTACACTTAACATTTAACATTCAATAAGCTAATTTATTATATATATTTTCTTAAACTTGGCATCCACTAAAGGTGGGAAAAACATTAAAAAAATGAATATATTTACTCCGATATTTGACTTAAAGTTTTTGAAGATTAAAAACGGTTTGATCGATATTATAAAACTCGATTTTAAGATATTTTTAAACGATAAATCAAGCAAAATTTTGATAGAATCGATTAAAGTCACAGTATCGATCGCCGAAGAATTAAACGTAGAATTTAAATATTTTATTTATTTATTTTTCTATTATTTTACTAGTAGATATTTTAANTTGTCATAAAAGTAATTTAATTCAAATATAAATTTTTTTCTTGAAAATATATTTATTGTCGAAGTTATATGTGTATTCTATGCATAGTTACAATCACTCTTCTACACTTTCATAAAAATAAAGTAGAATTTTTTGTACTTTATCTTGAAGTTACATGATACATTTCTAGATTTAATGTCAACACCTCTAGGGAAAGTTTAACAAGATGCAATGTCTCTTACATGAAAGAATTCAAACAATTTTTTTTTATGTTTTACTAACCTCAGTATCGGAAATATATAACTTATATATAAAGTAATACAAAGTCAAGAAAATAAAAAATAAAAGTCTCTTATATGTAAATTAAAATAACTTCATGTTATTAGTGAGTAATAATTTTATTGTTTTTTTAAATCCATTTTATTTAAATGTTAGTTGTTTTTTTATAATGTTATTCTATGGAGAATAATTCAAAAGATGTTTCATTAAAGTACATTAAGTCAATGATAACGCTTCTTCTCTGTTTTCTAAATTGCTCGTTGTAAAATATAAATTATATCTTAAATTATCTTTGCTGTTAATAAGCTTAATGTTGTTAAATATATCTTTTGTCATTTTTCTTGAATTATAATTACAAAAAATTAAAAGCTTTACTTTTCTATCCTTATTTTCTACAATTTCAATTTTATTATTACAATTTCTGTATTTTTTTTCCTCTTTGCAANTTCATCAAGGAAAATAAACGAGGCTTAATTTCACTAAAATTCTTTTTTTTTAAAGGTAAAATAAACATAGCTAATTAATTACAATGGAATTTTTTTCGAAGAATAAACTTCAAACTATCTAAAGAAAATCAAAGTACACTTAACATTTAACATTCAATAAGCTAATTTATTATATATATTTTCTTAAACTTGGCATCCACTAAAGGTGGGAAAAACATTAAAAAAATGAATATATTTACTCCGATATTTGACTTAAAGTTTTTGAAGATTAAAAACGGTTTGATCGATATTATAAAACTCGATTTTAAGATATTTTTAAACGATAAATCAAGCAAAATTTTGATAGAATCGATTAAAGTCACAGTATCGATCGCCGAAGAATTAAACGTAGAATTTAAATATTTTATTTATTTATTTTTCTATTATTTTACTAGTAGATATTTTAATTAATTTACAATTTATCGAAATTAGAAAGCGTTAAAAGAACAAAGCGTAACTTAGATTTAATATAACAAATAGTAATATTGTGGTTTCGAAAGTGAAACAGGTTGATTACTGTTTTCTCAAACCAATTAAAGTCGATCGATCGGAAAAGACATTAAGGAGGTGATAGAAAAGAATATACTTCATGTTCCACTATTGTCAATCTACTATAACGGTGTCGTTGCTCTAATCGAAGAGCGTGTACATAGTTGAGTGGTGTGTAGGATTAGGATGTTGACCATTCAGAAAAGTTGACTATTAAGCTTCGTGAATTCTCACCGAATAAGTTGTAAGAGAAGCAATAGCTTACATTTGCTCAGGAATCGCTATAAACTCCAAATTGTTGTACTAAAATTTTCTTGCTGTTTACACTCTGATGAACCGGAGAAATGGAAGGGGAGGTAGTAAGCACTTTACTCCCGTTTTCGGATCGATAGGGAAGAGATCCCTTTAATCTCTTTTGTCCCCATTTTAGGGGGTGGAGTAGACACTCCCGCAGGCACCGACAGTCAACCCATTTCATTTCTTCTGTGAAATTGTTGTCTCTGTTGGAGAAAGTTTCCGTAACTGTCTCATAAACCTTATATAACTGGACATGACTTTCTGTCCACTGATATAACTCGATCCTGACGGCTGGAAGATAAACCGTCCAAAAAAAAGGAGGAGGGGGAAATGAAGAAAAAACAACAACAATAAAAAAAAAGAAAACAAAGAATATAGTTGGATGCAAGCGTCGAGTATTATCTTCTAGTGGAGACGTTTGGCTTGTCTATCCATTTACGAATGGATGAAGCACAATTCTCCATCTTTCATAAAGACAACTATCTTCTTTGATACATTGTTTTCTGTTCTTAATCGTGATACGAATAAAATCGTTTTTAAATAAATAAACTCTAGTAGAATATAAATTTATTATTTTATTTTTTAAGAAGACATTAGAAAAGTTTTTTCGTGTCATTTTAGATTTGACTGTCGTTTTATGGGGTGGACCAAATGTCAGTTAACTTTGCGTTAACTGACATTGTTTATGTGTATTCTCNTAATTTTATCATTATCTTATGTTTTACGAATAGATGCTGCATTTTCGTTACACTAAGATGTAATCACATTGTGTTGCATTGATGAAATAGCCTAAACCAACAAAGAGGATGCCACCCAAGAGGAAGGCATCCCCATGGCCATCCTCAGGGGCATTTTTTCTATGTAAAAGTGGCTCCTATTTAGACACGTAAAACTGTACAGGCGTGAAACCTCACCCAAACTACCAGTGTTCAGCAAAATACTACTGTTTTATTCATTTTTTTTAAATATAGAAAGTGAAAAAAATGTTAAAATTAATATTATTATATGGGCATTTTTTTTTCCTAAAGACGTTTCCAATAACCCTCATCCCACAGCAGTATACAATACTTAATGTAAGAATAATACTTGTTCTAACAAAGTCTGGTCAATTTTCTTTTTAAAAAATAGTTTACCCGACTTCCAATTATTTAAAATAAACATGATTTATATTGATTTCGTATACAAGTTAACGTTTCCTGCCTCTATTCAATGGTCTCTATCTTTCCATTTATTTTTCAATGGTTTAAAACATGAAAGTAGTTTCTCTAACGTAAGATTCTTCATAAATAGAACTTTTATATAAATGAATCTTTATTTTCTTTTCGTATTGAAATCTTTTATTTATAACCAGTGAAAGTCAGATGCAATTTAGAAATTAAATAAATAAATTTAAACGTAATTAATTTCTTTAAAACATTTTCTGGATTTTAATGAATTATGCAAATATTTAAATGTATTTATTAATTAAAATAAAATAGAAAACTTAATAAATGATATTATTATAAGAAATATTATTAAAAATAAATAATAATTAAATTAAATATTTATAAAGTTTTTTTGTGGATAATAATTATTCATTCATTCATTTTGTGATAATAATTATAATAAAAAAAATTAAAATGAGTGAATATATTTAAATTAATATTGTAAATTTTTTATTGTTTACATTAATATTTTTTGTTTACTGTTTACAGAAACATATACAATGCAGTTTATTTGCAATGTAAACATAGTTTTTTAAAAAATAAAATTATAAAAATGTAACTTGTTTATTTAATTTTTCTGCTTTAAAATTGTGCTGAGAATTATATTAAAGGTAAATAAAAATATAAAACTTTTAAAAATAAAAATAAAATAAAACATGAAAGAATTTCTTTAACTCAATATATTTTATATATTTTATTTGGTCATAACTAGAAGCAGTGATTTATAGTTCAATCTCATTAAAGTTAACACATTTCTTTTTATATATTACTTGAATTTAAAAGGATTTTATATATGAATTTATTTTACTTAAAATTATTTTTAATATAAACAAAACTTAAAAAATTAAGTGATGGTAAAATAAACAAAATATATTAAAATAAAATTTAAAATGACTTTTTCTGACATCAAAATGAATTATTTATAGTTTAAAAATTGAATTTTTATTACTTTTATTAATATTTTATATNAAACTTATAACTCAACGTAAAAAGTTTTTAATTAAAAGGACACTTTCATTTAAGCACGCATCATCATCGAATAGCATACACAATTATGAATTTGATGTAATAGGCTTATGTTGTTAAAACATTAACGTCGAAATATATTCACGCAAAACTATGAGAAATAACGAAAAATATGTTTATAAAATAACAAAGAAACTTCTATTTACCTATTTAGAAAAAGTTTTTAAAAGCATTTGTCAATTCCTTGTGGGAAAAGAGTGAATATTCCGTTTTAATTCAAATTTCACCCATTAAATTTTCGAATAATTGAAATTTTACCCGTTAAATAAAATTTTAAAATAAAAATGGATTTTCTTTCCTTTTAAAACTCTGTTTCGGTTTCAGTTTTTCGTTAAAGTCAAAACTTTGATTTGGTAACATGACCGGTTCATAGATTTCCCATAAGAAAAACTTTTACTTTCTTAAGTAAAAGATTTTCTTAATGTCATAGCGCTGAAAGAGTAAAAAGGAATAAACATAAGAATAATTATTTAACTGGCCGACATATTTAACCACATCATCCACGAAGATACGAAAGCCGAATCCTTTGGAACGAGATACATCTCCTTCTGGCCTTTAATTTTCGAGTTTTGACGAAAAGTCATTTTGTAACGTTAGGATACAATAATATTGAGTTTTAATTAATCAACAGATATACTATTTGAAGTACAGTATAACATAAAATGAACATCAAAATGCAGCTGTGATAAAAGTCCCATTCAAAATTATTTTTAAAATGTATTATTTACAACGTGCTAAAACTGTTATAATAGATTAATAATAGATTAATTTAGATATAATAGATTAATTTTTGGATATCAATCTTAGTTACATAGATTCAAACTTAACAATTTGAAATATCCACTTATCACATTAATAAGAAAAAACCAAGCAAAAATGATAGAAAACATAATAGTAGTATTAGAAATGCTAAATCAATATGAATCACTTTTAAACACCTTAAGTTGTTAATAATTTCCTTACCTTGATTCATAATTCTGTTCTACAATAAGGTCCTACGCGTTACACATCAGTTCTATAAATAAAATGGTATATTAATGTTATTACCAATCGTTATATAGACTTGTAACAACGAATGCTATTACCTATTTCCAATATATTATTGTAATTTTATTTAAAAATAAAATTATTTTTTTTTAATATTTATAGATTTTTTTAAATCTTTAAATACATTATAACTTTATTAAATTTAATATTTTCCTATAGAAGAATAAATATTAAAATAGGTGTAACAAATAATTAGTTTTGTATTTTGTTAGTTATTAATGGTAGAAATTAAGCTTTTAAATATATTTATAAAAAAAAATAATTTATAACTTACTGGCTGGAAGCATCCTAAATATACATGGTTCTTTCTGAACTCCTATTTCGTTTCTTGCCCAGCAGTATAAACCACCATATCCAATCATAGATTTAGGATTATATTTGACAGTACTCATAGTTCCATTAGTGGTAAATTTTCTAATTTCTACAGTCTCTGCCGTGTTATTTAATAACCACCTGAAGCTGACTTCATCTGGATCAGCTTCCACTTCACACGACACATTTACAGTTTCATCTCTACCAATTCCATAAAGTATCTTTTGTCCTTCTTTGCAGACTGGCGCATCTACAAAAGAAAGAAATACAAATAAAATTATTTTATTTTATCACTTAATGATGTTTAAAAACATTTTACGGATAAATAAAACATTTTTTAAACACCACGATAATGTAGAAAGCTAATTTTAATTAAGTTCTTAAGTGTTGACGTATGTTGATTGTTGCTTCAGAGGAAGGGGATGAAGAGAAAAATTAATATGATATGAAGCGGAAATGAAAACATTCCTAAAGAAGTAATTATGTAAAAAATGTAGCTTTTATACGTAATATTTTAGATGCTTTTTGTGTTCATTATACCGTCTGAAGTAACATTAACAATAATAAATATTTTTTTAAGTACAAGTAAAAAAAGTCGGAATAAAAATAATTAAAAAGCAAACCTACAAGGAGAATAATTTGTTTCCTTTACAAAATGCAAAAATTGGACTTCTAAAAACTAGATCTAAATTTTTTTTTCCTATTTTGCTGTCTTCTTCGTTTCTATTAAATTTTTTTTTCTTTTCTTTTTACAAGAATGACGGATCTCTCCATCTGAGGTAATGGTGAAATAATGAAGGCATATATACTGTAGATGAAAAACGAAAAGTTAAATCGCAGTCACAAACAGAACTTAAACGAATTTTTCTCTTTTATATTGAATTTGCTTAACGAAAACGAATTTTTATAAGAAAGAAAGAAACATTATTCATTTTAGATCTAATTTTAAGTTACAAAAGCTTCTCTCCTTTTTTTCTATTTTTCTTTTATTTACATTGTTGAATGAATTTATTAATAAATAAAACACATATTTTACATTTATATATATACAAATCCTTTATATAATATACAAATGTACGTGCTTATGTAATTTTTAAAGATATATGGTAAATTGGATAAACTGTCGTGTGTATGTAATATTTTAATGGTTATTTTTAATAAATCAAAATTTAAATTATTCTTTGCCTTCTTGGGCCTTTTTAATCAGGACTTATATAGTATGGAAGGAATTCCTCCCATACTTGTAGTATGGGAGGAATTCCTTCCATATTTAATACGAATTTAATACGAAATAATTAACGGGTCATTAGTAAAATATAGAGTTCGCTGAATATTTTTTGCTGTTATAGAAAAAATAGTCATAGTTTTTGTTATAAAAACTATAGAAACTGTCTGTTTGTCATGTTTGAAAATGACCCATTCATCAAATAGGCGAGGATACCTTAGAGGCCTATAAGAAGTGTCCGGTATATTATACTGTCGCCTGACCCGAATTTATGACACAGTAAACTTCAGTTTCATAAAATTGATCAAGGTAAAGTTGCACATAAATCAAAACTGTCAACCATTTACAGCAAATTTCTTCTTTCTTTCGTGCATGCCCTCCTGTAACTGTGTCTATCAATGTATATCTATCAATGTAAAAAAATGAATTATTGCAAAAAAGTTTCCTTATCACGTATACATTATTTACTTACACTGAACTTCAAGTTGTACATCTTTACTCTTTCCTTCACCTTCCGAATTGGATGCGATGCATCTATAATGACCGCGATGATCCTTCTTCACCTTTTGTAATACAAGTGACTGATTAATCATTATTATTCCGGGATTCGTATTGCTGAAGAGTGGTTTACCATCGAAAATCCATCCCAATTCTGTTACTCTAGGATTTGCTTTAATGTTGCACTCGAAGTAAACGTCGCTACCTTCTTTAATTTTCGATCTCAATATATTTGCTCCAAGTGCTAAATTCAATATGGGCGCATCTGGAATACACAAATATAGTCAATATTTTCGCTGTAAGAAAGTTAAATTCCTTTTTTTAAAATAGAAATATTGTGGGAAATGTTTTTAAAGCTTGTAAATTTAATATTAAACCTTGAACATCATTAAAAGAAAGTTCTATTCCTTAAATTAATATACGGAATAGAACTTTTTTAAAATGATGTTCAAGGTTTAAGATGTATATTTAATTTTTTTTTTTTTTTTGCATTTCTTCTCGTGTATATTATATTTGGCAATCTTTTCTTCAGCGAGAATTTGTCTTTTGTTTTAAATAAACAGGATCGAACTGTATTTTTGTGTGTGTTTGTGTGCTTTTTTTTTATTTTCGAGACACCCTTTCGTTTCGGTTAAAGTGGTAAAAAGAGAAACGACAGGGAAAACCCATTTCTTCAAATATTGTTGTTGAAATGTGACGTTTAGACACGAACTAAGTAGAAAAGTCATTTATATCAATAAAAAGTCTCGGGTGGTGTATCTGATATCGTCACGAGCTTGTCGTGAAGAAAATTCAGATAGATTAGTAGAAATTTATTATTTTGACACTATAAGACTCACAGTGTACATTGAGTAACCATCTATCAGCAATTCCACTATTTGGCAACGTCGGATGGTCTGCTCTGCAAGACAAAGATTTCCCGTTGTCGTCAACAGAAGGTGTGAATGTTAGCAAACTGGTGGTGATGTTTCCATCATCTGACACGCTCTCCTTGTACGATTCTAGCTTCTTGCCGTCCTTCCACCACGATAAATGTGCGGGAGGCCTCGAACCGGTACTTTCACAAACTAATTTTACTTCCTGTCCAGCTGATACGGGTCGATTCGATTCGATGATGTACACTTCGAGTGGCTTCACTGTAACGTATAGAACAAACGGATTATCACATATAAACATCTTCATTTTTCTTTTTCCTTTTTCATTTTCTATCTACCTTAACAGTAAAAGGTAGTGAGGAAGTCAAAAATGGCTTAAGTCCAAAAGAATTCAGGGCAAAATGCCAAGTATTCTAGAAATTCTATCAATGTGATTCTTCCTCCTCACATTTATTACACCAAAAATATCTTTAGAAGTAGAAAGGTACTAAGATTAAATTGATTATTTTTTAATATATTAATTTATAAAATTATATGGAGCGGATGAAAGTAATGATTATTTAATGATTTTCTTTATTATTAAACTTACAGTTAAGATCTAGGATGACAGAACTAGTCTTTGGAACCGTTAAGTTTGTGTTGGATGCTTGACAAGAGAAAACTTCCATAAGGAAAGATCTTTGTAAATTCTTAAGAGTCAGTTCGTTCCTGACGACACCTTTAACTGTTGGTTTGTAGCTGTCATCTAGTAATGTAGACCCTCTCCACCAGGTAACTGAAGGAGGTGGTGAACCTGTAACAGATGTTTCGTGTAAGTACACTAAATGCATTTGTCCGTTGTCCGTCTGTTATTGACAGATGTTACAGAATTACACAAAAACTAAGTAGCTATAACGGATAATGTTGTTTGTGAGTTTTTAGAAAATATTACTTTCCTCTCCTCCTCTTATTTTTTCTAATCATAAATTACGAGAACATTACTTATAACTGAAGTAAGTAACTCAGCAATAAGTGAAGCTATAAAAGTAAAAAATGTATTTTGTTTAAAAGATTTTTACAGTGCAATTTCTAAACGCAATTTATATTTTTACTCCCATTAAATTGTCCTATTAAATAAATAAGTAAAACTTTGACAATTTTTAAATAAATAATCGTTATTGCAACAAACATTAATTCAATTTAAAAGAATTAAATATATTTAATGTAATTATTAATTCAATATTTAATTAAAACAAATTTTTTTAAATACTTACCACCTTCAGCTTCGCATATTAATATTAAATAAAATCCTTCATCGTAAGGGCCTATGATATCTCTCATCCTCTGCCCGTGTTCATCTTTGATAATAACATCATTGGGTGGTACTAAATATTTTATAAAATTAAAAATTAACATTTTTTTTAATGATTTTCTAATAAGATTATATATAGAAATTATAAAATAATTATTTATATTATTAAAAATATAATGTCTTATAACGTAAATATACGAAATAAATCAACAAAACTTGTCATTTTTTATCCTCTCACATAAAAAAATATATATATATTAAATAAAAATCTTACTAAATAGTAAATAAATTAAAATTTTTACTTATTATTGAATATAAAATTAATTTTTTCTCCTTCGATTTCTTGACATTTTAATTACGGTTTTTAATTTATCATTGGTAAAAACTTTGACTTTTAACTTATCCATCAGACCATAAACAAAATTAAAACTTATAATACATTTTAAAAAATCTAATTTAAATATCGTTGACTTTATAAAATTAGAAAAAAAAATTCAATTTGAAAAATCAATAGAATAGAAGGAGAAAAAAAAAACAAGTTTCAGTTGCTAAGTTGCGCATTATATACGAACTGGATTAAAATATTTATTTAAATTATATTTCTTTTTTTTTTGTTTAATAACAAATCTTTGAAGTAGAAAATTAATAGAAAAGGATATTTAGATCGAAAGTTATTTTCGAAAAATATCAAAAACAGAAATTGTTTCATTAAAAGCGCGTTAACATTAAGAAGAATATTGGAAGCATAAAACAACTTTGCAAGTTTTATAACACAGAAAGATGGAGCCATTCGAGGAAAGTCTGTAAGATTTTAATAACAGTCGAGACTCTCGTTTCTTCCCACAATTTACCATAATTAATTAAGACACAAACATTAAATCGATGATAGCAAAGTTTTATTAAAATGCGAAGTACAAGATAATAAATTTTTTTTTTTTCTTAAAAGTTCCGTACAACACACAACATATTGTGTTTTCGTTAAAGTATCGATCGAATAATAAATTTTACAATTATTTCTTAATTAAATATCATTCGTATATTATAATTTAATGACTAATTTTTTACGCTGAGAGATGGCCAAACTTAGCATTGCATTTTTGTTTTTTTTTTTTTTTTTTTAAGGAATTTATTTATATATATATATCTTAACTGTTTAAGAAAATATTAAAGTGATGGATATGCATATTTTCCAGATAGGAGGCAACAAAATATGATTTTTTTTTAAAAAAAAGAATATTCTTATCAGTCTCATACGATAAGCGGGGCGTACATATCCAGATGCACATTTTTAACGACTTTTTCAGAAATCTTACTGTTACATATTTACCAAGGATACCTCAAATACGAAATTCGTCGACGATTGAAGAGAAGAAACCAATATTCTAAAAGTAGTAAAAATCTACCAGAGAAAAACCATAAATTGTTGAACAACCGAAAATTTTGCTGATCCTAGATAAAAAAAATAAGAAGAATAAAAAAAAAATTACTTCTTTTCGCATCGATGATAAGGAGAACAAGAGCTCTTTTACAAAAGCTAACATACAATTGTTTCCTTCATTTTGTATTCCATTCTATCTCTGGTGCTTAAAAAGCACTCTTGGAAAACTTTACTTAAAAACTAAAAAAAAAATAAAAAAATAAAATAAAATATGATGGTTGACCCTTCTAAACCGATACCCAGGATACAAGTTTTATACTGTAAGTAAACTCTAGGTGAATTTTAACATTAAACATAAACCGCAATCGACAGAGGAATACAAAATTGATAAAAAAATATATGTATACGTTACCTATGACTCGAAGTCTTAGACGCCTGAGTACTGTCCTCGATCGCCTGTAATCTACCCTGCACTTGTATTCACCGGCATCTTCTATTTTGACCGGGTCTAGAACCAATCTAGGAATTTTTGAAGTCACGTCGAAATGTGCCCTGGAATCCAATTCCGTACTTGGAAAATGTTTGGCATTTTGAAGTGTACTCTTTCTGGAATCTAAGGTGTAGATTGGTACTCCGAAGTCGCCTTTATACCAAAGGATGATGGAAATATCTTCTTCGACTGTACGGATACTGACATTGCATGGTAGTACTACTTTTCCGCCGAAAACGGCTTGGTATTCTGGAATGACTGAAAATACGAGAATGTTTTAGCTATTTCTTTCTATTATGTGGAACGTATGTCTTATCTGATCGATTCTGTCAAGCTATCTGTTTTGATCTTATTGAAAATTTTATTGGTACTTTACCGAAAAGGAGGAAACAAACTTAGTGATTTAGTTCGAAATAATTGAAATGTTTTTTTTTTTTGTTTTCGTTACTTTTATTTATTTATTTATGCTTATATTTTGTAAAAAAAATATATGATATATTTTATTTTATTTAAAGAGTAAACCTACTTCTTAGTAAACCTTGTTACTCCTTGCAACAAGGAGTAACAAAGTTTATTAATAAGGAGTAATTACAAAAATTAGAATTTGTCTGCTTGTTTAAAGTGTTTAGACAAGTCAACAAATTCCTATTTATATCTTATAATATTACTTTATATACAGCTCAATCAAGACGATAATAAAAAGGGTTAATTAAATCAATTTATTAATTAATGTTTTTACATAAATATATAATGACTAATCAAGTTATTTTTCTTATAAATATCCCTTTTCTTATATCTACTAAGAGTTTTAATACTTAATCAAACGATAAATAAACTATTATTATGTATAATTTTTTAGAATATTTTATAAACGTTTTTCTTTCTTCTTTATTTATTTATTTATTTATTTATTTTTTAATTTACTTCGAAACATATTTATGCTTTACACAAATTTAAATTCGATATAAAAATATATTTAAAAATTATAATTAATTTTACTTATTGTTTTTACAAATTTCTGCATTAAATATACTTAATTGAATATTTTCATTTAAATTTCGAAAGTTATTATCATTATTATTATTATTATATCTAACAAACTTAATAATAAATTAAAGAATTATATTTCCTAAGATCTTTGAGTAATTTGAAATTTGAACATTTTAAAGAGATTTTTCAGTATTTTAAATTAATCCAAATTTTAAAATTTAATTAATTTCAATAAGTTAAAACAATTCTCATGACGATATTATCGGCTTTATACTTATTTGAAGTATTATTGAAATCTTCGTAAATAATTGAAGGAAAAAAAAAATTTGTATATTATTTTCCTTAAATTAATCCTATTTATAATTATAAATATTCGATCGATTTAACTTAAAATTTTATAAAATTATACGATCGAAAACTAAATTTAATTTTTGACTATTCATGCCAACTTCCTAATTCTATAATTAGAGGAAACTAAGAAAATTAATAATGCAAATTTAATTATCTTTTCCTCTAAATTATCTAAAGTTAGTTTATTTAGTTCTTGTTATTGTTGTAAGCCTTTGTTTCGATTATCTAATCATTAATATTGAGCAGAATTATTCATCTAGAACATCGCATCTCAACCTTTATCACATTGGAAGAGAAACATCATTAAGAAACAATACAGTTAGGGATTACAAAAGAGCTCGCGAGATACCGGTTGGTTAAACCGCTATAGAAACTTAAACTTAATTTCTTAATTTAACGAAGAGAGGGGGTAAAAACGAATTTATTTAAATACCTTTAAAAATATCAAAAGTTTATCTCATTATCAAAAGAGAAAATAATAATAAAAGATATCAAGTTTTAAAAAGAAGAAGAGATAAAACCCATTTCTATAAAAAAAAAAATGGTAGGAAATTTTTCAGTCAATCGTTATCTGAGAAAGTAAATGCAAAGCAGTCTCTTCTTTGTTATGATGTTTGCCTCAGGCATCTTTACGCACCAAGAGGGACCACAGAGTTTCCAACTTCCATCATTTGTTAAGTAGAAAAGAATTTTAACAATCTCTGCCAAATATATAATCTTCCAGCATAAGATTTAAAAAAAAAAAAAAGAGAAAAAACCATACAATTCTTCATTTTTTTAAGATAAAAGGATAATTATTTTATTACCACAATTTGTAATTTTCTTTTGTTTAACTATTATTATTATTAATTGTTTAAATAAAAAAGGATAACTTTCTTATATTTTTAAACATTTTTCTTGTAGTCGAAATTAATAGTTTAGTAGTACACACGTACACTGTACGTCAGAAGAATATAATATTTTTGATTAAGAGTTGTAAATGAATTAATTCCCTTGTAAATTGGGTCTTTTGCTTTCAATTACGTTTTGCTTAATGAGTTATTTGTTTGGATTTTTCCTTTAAAAGATGGCGAATACAAGAGNATCCTGTTTATTGTTAAACTTTGTAAAAAAAAAAAATTTATTTAAATGATATTATAAAAATTGTAATTAAGATTTAATTTTTACGTTAATTTAAAGCTCTTTTATACTATACATTAAGAGTGTCTTTAATTACGAATCCTTTTTTTCGTAAGGAAAGAAAAAAAACAAAGAAATAACGATTAACGAAGAAAATAACAATAAAATAATTTAAAATAATTAATCTTAATTGTTTTGTATAATGCAAATTGAAACTCTGATGATTATATTGTGGAAAATTTCAGTAAACTATTACAACACTAAAGGCTAACACATTAACAACACCAGAGTTTTCTAATCACATTAATCTAAACGCGTACAGTATTGACAGTACAGAGATGTGTCTGTACACTACAGCCTTTGTGTCTACAGTTTTAGATCGCGGTCATAAATTAACTGAAGTGTTTCTATCCTAAAAAAAAACATAGAAAAAAATACAACTTTTTTTTCGCGAGAACAATCAATATTTATATTGTTTGCACTTCGAATAATACTGTTAACATCAGATGTTTAGAATTGCTAAAGTGGCATTTGGTATTTTGTGTACAGTACCTCAATTTTATATTCCACTCGATTTAACTCTTATGGTTGTTCTCAAATTAGTATAAGTACATAAACGAAGAAATTGCACATTTAAGAATGTCGTGTTAATAGGCTCCATTCGTGGAAAGTGATACAAATACGATAATACAAGTTAAAAAATGGTTTTCTATATATTTTTACAGACAGCACATAAATTCTCGGTTCTAACAAACTAAAAAACATAAAAGGGAGGAAGAAAAAATTAAACCCATCTCAATTTTTCTTTCAAATCTCCGTTTCCAATGAGAGATGAAAGAGAATCTCTAATATAATAAATCAGTTATTGGTATCCTTTAAAGGGATTGGTGTGCTGTTATCCGAAGCCAAAAGACTGTCCACGTGTTCAAATGTTAAGTTATGGTGCATTTATCAGGAGCTAAAACGAAAAAAAATACATCATATCCCATCTTTCAAGTGTAGCAAAGGATAGGAAAAGAAATAGACCGAGAAAATATGTCACCTAGATATAATGGACATGAAAAGAATACGTGACAAAATAGCTGATTCTCGAAACCAATAAAATCTTATTTTGGATCTAAAAATATAGATTTCTTTACTGTTTTTATAGATATTTATCATAAGTGGTAAATTCTTTAAGATTTATATACATTTAGGATGCACGCTCGAATGTATATAAGGAAGAGTTTCTCTTGAAGGATGAAGATTTGTTTACGGTTCCATTGTAAATATTACATCTAATGCATCCTTAAAGCTCCAGTTACGTAACTAGGATTTGTTGGTAAAATATGTATAAATCGGATTTTAAAAAAAGGTAATTTATAATCTGTAAAAGTAATTTTTCACTCGAAAATAATCGATCGAAAACGCTGACTAGATTCACCAATGGGTTATAAACTAGGATGAGGATTTAAGAGTTAGCAGTTCGGAAAATGGATAAAAAAAAAACGTTACAAAAAATTCAATACGTTATGTATTAAATCATTTATATACTATTTCATATCAATATAGGGGTCATCAATAGTAATTATGCTCCTAGAAAGGGCTTTTAACATAGATATATATATATATTATTCGGTGTCATTATTCTTGGTTATGCATTATATGCTTATAGAGTACTTAATGGTCTACAAATTTTTAATGATCTGCATATTTTATATTATGTAGCAATATTAGTGTTCTCAATGCAGTATGGATAGCGAAATTATGGTATAGATAATAATTAGGCAGTGAAAAATAGAGTTAAACAATATACATTCGTTGTAAAATTTATAATAATAATTAACAAGGAAGGATAAGATTTTAAAGGCAATCATTTGCATAATTTATATATTAAAATAGATAGCGAAGAGTTGTGACTGGTACAGCGATATTAGATAATTCATTTGTTATACAATATCGGAAATAATAGCAGAAATGAACATTAATAGTCGATGCTTAAACGTTAATAGCAAGTAACGTCGACTAAATTCGTTTGTTTAGCAAAAGTAGATGAAATAAATTTTCAATGTCATAACCTAGAGCAAAATTCGTCATACGTATCGATCAATAAAATCCATATTTTCTAAAGCTTCCAAACATTTAGATAAGTGATGCACGTAGGTAAGAGTTGTGTTTAATTAAAGAGTGATTTAAGTAGCCCATAATGCTAAGTCGTAAATAACTTAAAGGCTAAGTTAAAGGAGGCGAGACCTTTTCGCATTTCGTTACTGTGTATCCTAGAATCCATAAAACTGTTTGATCTCCTTCGTTCATCACTCTTAAGGTTAATTAAACTTGCATATTACTCTATACTAAACGTTCTTAATGTTCTACTTTGGTAGCGATTTGCGTGCCATCGTCATTCAATGTATAAAGATCAAGTTGTTTGTGTGCAGATTTTTGGCGTTTAAAATTGATTTACGACTGAAATTCTTTAAAAAAAACTCGTCATTCTTGTAAACAACTATTCATTAGAATTGTTATTTTTATAGACTTAATTGGATTTCGCTTAATCATTCGATAGTTAATGGAACTCTCTACTGGGCATTTTTATTATTTTTTTTCTTGTCTATATATACAGTCATTAGTATCGGATAAAATAACAGTTCGATGCTTCTACAGTAGCAGTTAATTAACAACAGGTTATACAAGAGTATACATTTACAATATTAAATTATCCCGAATAGGAAAATAATCTTTTATACACAATTTTAACGTTTTAGAATTATTTATAATAAAATTAAACGAGACAATATAGTTTATTGCATAGTATACAT